ATATCAAAAACAAAGCAAATTTATTTCACAAAAAAAAAAAGTTAAGACTGTTAAGAATATGATTAATACTGAATAAACAGCCTATAATGTAAGGCTATTAAATAGCAGTCCCAAACTAGTTTTTGTTAATACAATTAAGTTAGTATGAGCCACCAGTCATTTAAACAAAGTGTCAAAATGACACAAAGTGAAAATAACATGGTATTATTGGGTTATGGAAACAACAGTTACCATGGTAAATACACAATACTAACACGAACTGTTAATGAAATGTGGAAACTGCTATTGAATAGATATAATAAAAGTCTTGCATCAGAAAAACATTTAGAATTACGTTATTTGCTGTTGATGTCGTTTCTTTGGTCGCGACGCACCAGTTGAGAAACACTGGTTTAGTACACTATACTATAATATTACATTATATACTATAATTATGATTATTAATAATAACATCAACTTAAAATGATTATTATTATAATCATCATCATCATTATTATTCTTATTAATAACATTGCATATTATTAAAATAAAAAAAAATTATTACACTGAATATTTTTAGGTTAATGTTAGATATTTAACTATGATGGAATGTATTTTACAATTTTCAAATATGACTTTCATTTGCATCCTAATTTGAGTTGAACATTCCGTAGATATTTAACCCCAGAATTAGTGCTGCGCGGTATGACCAAAAATTTATATCACGGTATTTTCCAAAATTATACCGGTTTCACGGTACATGACGGTATTTTTTTTTCATGCATGACCGGATGTTAACCATATTTTCTACTGATTGAGAGAGGAAATACTGCAGTATATTGACTTAGAATGCCCTATTTTACTGTCATGATGAGTGAATATTGAATATTGTCAAAAAATGCCACACTAAATAGTGACTAAACACGACCCCTTTTAATACATGTTAACCAGGAGTCACTCTCATTTATAATCGCGGCATCATCTGATAAAATCAACATGCATCTACACTAAAGAGCGGCTATGCGGTTGTTTTGGCTATATTACTTTTTTGTCTCATGCAGCGCACTGCCTGCGTCTGAGTAACAAACTAAAAAAAACAACAAACTAAAAAGTGCATGTGATATTAACAGACGAACTACGCTCATATTTATAATTCCAAACAATCAGTAAGCGACAGGTGCTTGGAAACGCTGTTTTGTACTCATGTACTGACGTGTCGGCTGCGGTGCGCTGCTTCTCTGCCGCTCACTGCACAGAACAGACGCCGA